CCAAACCTAAATTTAATTCGAGCGATAAATAAATAAATATAAGTGTAGCTGCTGGCATCCTGACCAGCGGGCTTACCCCCTTGTTTATTAGGCGCATGCGCACGGGGCCTCGGGATTGGCGGGCACGAGGCCACCGTGAAATAACCTGAAGTTTCTCTACGGTTTTCTTTAACTTTCCCAAGTGTTTTGTAAGTCGTTTGTTTCAGTTTTTCTTCTTGTGCTATGGATTTCTAACGGATATTTGTGATGATACCTGTGAGTTGATTCTGCCTCGTGTATGATTAAACGTTTTGTTGTTGTTTTTATCGTCAGGGATATCATATGTGCCGCCATTCGCCGCTACAATAAGAAAAACAAATGCCGGATAATTTCTTGTATCCACAATTTTACACAATTTTTCACTTTCTTTCTTACTATTTTTTTTTCCAGCAATGTGTTATATAACTGCCATTTCTGTCAAAGTGTGAAGGAAATACCAGCATTGAATTCCAGTGATGAGAAAAGACAGTATTTGGACAACTGGACGTAGCTAGTCTCGCTAATACTGCCGAATAATTCGTGTGTATCTTCGAAATAGCTGTATACATTTTTTAATCTATGAAAGTATTTTCCTGCATTATGACGCAGTATACTGTTTTACTGCAATAAAGAGAAAGAAACTTCAAAATAAATTGCATTTGACATAGATAATGAGTTATTTGACAGCAGAATTAACTTTTGATACAAACACCTGCTTACATGTAGCTTATTAGTATTCCGTTAACGTTTTATACAGATACCTACTCAATATCTCAATTTACAATGAGAAAAACGCTCGCTTCCGGTCTGTAGGGGCTTGCAGCGGCATTTAATGGCCAGCCGAAACGCCCATGCAGATCTGCTTATATGTTGCTTCTGACCGCCCTCTTGAATTGGCTTGGAAAAGACATTTTCTGTAGATAATTCAAACAAAAGTAAAGGCAAAGGTGTATCCAAGCCATGAGTCCCCCTTACTACTCCGCTCCAATATACGAAGAAATTATTTATTCAATGTATGGGGTTGAGGCACGGTTTTAAACGAGAGAGCCAGTTTCACCGCAAATGTAATAATTTAACGAGAAAAAGTGCGTCGAGATACTCATCATAGATCATTTACTATTAAATGCCAAGTAAATCCTTTAATTCAAGCGGTTGTAATGATTTTCAATTGTGGATGTAATTACTTCCGTTCTGTTAAAGTGCTGTTTTCAATTAACAACCAGAGCACATAGAAACATGGACAAACCCTTAGGCGTTCGAGGTCTAAGAACCACAAAAGGTGCTATAATGACATAACTTTCCTAGCGGGGAATATAAGTTACACTAGCAACCTTCGTAACAATTTAGAACAAGGCGTGCGCCGTTAGGTGATGTAAACAGAGAATCACGTACTGATAGAAAACTACAGTCAAGGACAAAGAATGACGACTTGACACGTCGTGGGTAATAATGGGTAAATTTGCGATTGGGAAGTCAAGAAAAATTACTTACAGCACAGCCTCTTACGCTTTCTATGGACCTACAGCAACTGCAACTCTGCAAATGAGTAATCCAGCTTAAAAGGACCGCAAGAATTCTCTTAACCTTTCGGCTAAACGGCCCTAGAATTTTGGAGTTTTCCTCTCTAGTTTACATAAAATGGTCCCGAGCATGCAATTCCCTGCCCTACGATGGAAGAAACAACGATCAATGATTTTTGATACTTTTTTCCCACATAAAACAGTCAAACGTGAGCACGTCCGCTCACTTCCTTGCTACCCATTCTTTGTGAGAGACGATTAACTCGAGGTATTGTGAACTATAGATCACTTTCTGTATCCACTGATACAAAATCTTCGACTGTAGACGTGCTGAATCTTCATATGAATGTCCATTTTAAATGAATGCTAGCGTAATAGACGATATTCGTTTTTCCCGACGGTCCTTCGACGAGAGACTTTTCAGCACGATTCGCCGAAAAACGATAGAAATAAGAAAAAACTGCAAGATTTAAAAGCTCAAACACAACAGGTGAGCTAAAGGGATACCTGTTTCAATTAACAAAACTGTGGCAAGAGCTGGTCGTACTAAAAGCAAAATTAATAAAAAAGCCAGGAAGACAGAAGAAGAAACAAGAACTATCTAGAAAATGATAAATTGTGTCAAAATGCCAATATTCGAATCCTTTTATACAATTTTATACTTCTTACTTTTTATTTTTCGCTTTTGTGTATCTGTAAAATGGAGGTTAAGCCGCTCCAGTAATATAATATAGAGATTTAGCCAGGGCTAAAAGCGAAGCTCTGGTTAATAATACGTGTAAACAAAAAAAATTAAATCGTGTAACGCTAAACGGGGGACGACAATGAAAATGGCTTCAAGAGTAATAGATCTAATTAGCAAAAACACAAATTGCACGTGCAGCACACTTTTTCTTCTAATTAGCAAAAAGCAAATTTGCACGTGCAGCACGCTTTTCTGTCTTTCCCTTGCCGTTGTTTTGCACGACTACAACACTGTTTAGTACCAGTAAAACGTCAAACTTCCTAGTTACACACTATTTTTATCGAGAAATTGTCGTATGTGCTTACCCAATATTTTGTTTCCAGTGTTCATGTTCGCTTTTATTTTTCACTGCCGCTCATTTTCACCTTGCTGGACGCTAGCATTTCTCATTTTCTCACCGCCGCTTTGAATTTCCATGTTTTTCTTCCAACCAATTTTCAATAACTCGCTCTAGCTTTTTCTCTGTTATCCACGTTAGTGTACACATACAAAATAACGCCAAAAAAGACACGACTTTTTTCTTTCTAAAAGTCCGTTCGGCCATGTGATTTCCTTACAAATAAAACCTTGAGTTGCATTTGGGTTCCCATACCTGTTGATTGAGTTATTTTACATTGGTACCCCTGTGTTGCGAACGGACGGTCGTACGGTCACGTGATTACCAAATTTTCTGGGATGGGTAGATTACCACATTTCCTTAGCTATGGGGCTCCGCCCACGCGCGCGCTTCACGCGCGGGTGGAGCTCTTCTATTATCGTCTCTACAAAACTCTGTGTTTAACGGCAGGCGTGCGTGTCCGAACTATCACACAGTTGTGATGGAAGATCACACAGTTGTGATGGAAGATCACAAAAACTGTAACCTGAATTTGTAAATAAACTTTTATTACTTTTCAAGTCATCTTTGTTCAAACCGATGTAACTTCCGTAAAATGCATGGACTGTGCAGAACGCTAAGCCCCGTCCTAACGTAGTAGTTCGCCTAACTTCAAATAACAAGATTTTGTATCCGCTCCATTAGGAAATTTCAACTGCAGAGTAAGTGTGATAACATCACTGTTAACTTTATCGCCGGCTTTCGCTAAGTACGACCATTTCAACAAAAGGTGTTCTTCAAAAGGTTTTAAGGACACTGCAAATTATAATTAAAGCTTCGGGGATTTTGAGAACATCTTGGGGTTTTTATTAAATTATAAACTAGCTCACCAAGCACTCTTCCCATCAATATCTGGTTGGGATCGCTGTTTCAGTTCTCAGTAATAACGAGCAGATCTTCTTTATGTTGTTCGAAATAATGATTTTTCAAGTATGCAAAGCCGCCGGAACTTCCCAACGTTATTTTTTTTCCTTTGTAAACGTGTGTCGGACGGTACTTCGAGCTTTGTTACTTAAATATATTTTCTTTAATAAACACTGTTAATCCGATAAAGGAATCTGTGTTCGAAGCCTAAATTTTTAGTCGTACATGACCAAATTAAAGCTCCTCAAACAAACTGGATTTGACAATTTTTCAGGAAAACAATGTTGCCGCCTTTGTCGGGAGGTTGTGCTCTCGCTGCAATCGCTTCGGTCCCTGCTAGCCTCATAAAGTGTTAATTACTTCTTTTACCACAACCACACCTGTAGTTTATTAAATATTTCAGTATTACATGTTCAATATGGAATCCAGGCATTTGCAAAATTTAAGCGTCCAAAATGCATTAGATTGCCTCTCAGAGAACTTCAATCTCAAAACTTTCCCCGGAGGAGTATGCGCCTGAAACTCCCTAGAAAAGTGCGCCGTTCGAAGTCCTGATGGGTGCTATCGCGCCCATATTGCCTCTGTATACTATATCTCTGGGCCCCCTCTATCACAAAATCCTCCGTCCGCCCCTGGAAAGATATATGCTATGGTCCAATTCTTACTCCCAATTTCGACTTTCTTGTCTTTTCATTAAAAATAAAATATACGCCAAGGACAGATTCTACCATAGCACTATAATGCGTATGTTTTAGGTCCCCGTTTTGGAGAGAATCTCATTATTCCAGAGGGGAATCGCTAACGTCGATAAGGCGGTTACGAATGAGCATCCTCTTAACATTGTCGACGATCTATTTTTACTTGTAACAAATATTATTGCTTTGATAGGTTTTTGGTGTTTATTGGTTGAATTTTTAGCCAAAACCATTTGGTTTACTTCCAAGGGCGAACGCCATTCATTATATTACCAAATTAACTATACAAAGGTTAACATAATTACTATAATTACTTGCAAGCAATTAATTATAACTTGCCTCTGATGAGATCGTTCAATTTAAATGCTAACCTAAGAAAAAGATCAACAAGACTTTTAGTTAAGTTTCTTCTTGCCATTTTTTACAGGAACTGAAAATACATCTCTTGACTCGTATGGATTTGGAATAAGTGAAACACTTCAAGAAAGCCTAACTGCATTGCACGCTCTAACATTCATTACTGCTTTGCTTGGTAACATACTCCTCATATACATCATAAGGCAGCGACGTCCTCTAACTCCAATGTCCATACTGATTGTCAATATGGCGGCATCGGATCTTCTTACAGCTCTGTTTACAATGCCATACTCCGCTGCGTTTTTATAAGTGGAGACCCACTGGTTTGGTGGCATCGCCGGCAAAATAACTTGCAAGCTACTGCACTTTGTCATTGGCTCAACAATCGCTTCTTCTATATTTGCTTTACTAGCAATTTCTGGTGAATGATATATCGCAGTTGTAAAGCCCCTCTGGTACTCGGCATTTACAAGGAGGCCCATCTTGCTATCAGTTTCAATATGGCTTTCGTCTGTCTTATTCATGTGCGCATTTCTCTTCGTTTATGTTTAGACCGACATCAATGGACCTCATTGCTATGCAGACTAGGAAGCCGTTTTTAACAATGCGAATCTGAGTCCGAGAATATTCTATTCCGCAGTTGCTGTTCCGCTTTATATTTTACCTCTTTCTGTCATTGCTGTCTCGTCGGCGATCATTACGAGGAAGTTGAAAGACCAGAAAATACCATTTTGTGCATTTCACCATACCACAAGAGAGGCGAACTTTAAAAAACGAAATCGCTACATCATGCGGTTGCTTTTGGCCATCGTTATACTTTTTGCAGTTTGTTGGCTTCCTGTTCATTTGTTACACTTTTTAATATTTTTCTATGAAGAAATTTACTTGGCATTGCCACAGTCTGTTCCGCTGTTCTTATTTTGGGTCTCACACGCCAACAGTGCACTCGATCCCTGCGTGGTAATCCTTCTAAATGGCTCGTTTCGTAAGACGTTAATGGATTTGATTAGAAGTCTAAGCTGTCGCCTACGCTTCAAGTCAAACCGCGTGAATTGCGTAAGTTATGAGCTTTTCCAGCCATTTGATACAAGACTAAGACATCAGCACAGTGGAATAAACATCCTCGTTCTTCTCCTGTCATTCTCTTCGATATCAAAACAATCCCACAAGAGAGTTAGATTTGCCCAAAAAGGGAAATTATCCTTGGTTTTGCTCAGTCCTGCAACATTAGAAAAACAAAAACAAGACGAAAACTTGAATTTCAAAAATAACAAAATGCTACAATCATGCACCGAAAGTACGCAGTTTTTGTTTCTCGAGATAAGGCCGAAAAAGGTTAGCCATTGTGACGATTCATACTTGTTTTAGGGCAAATTACACTCAGAACCATCAGGCTTTATCTTGTAATTGGTATGAATGCATATGAAAAGGTAGGATATTTACTTAAACCCTTAAAAGAGGCAACGACACAAAAGTGTTTTCGCTAGTGAAATCACTGACGCACTTGACTACGTCTGCGTCTGCGTCTGCGTCTGCGTTTTTTGAGAACTCTCAGCAAATCTACGTTTCCAAGCGAGGTAACTTGATTACGAACTTGATGGCTTAGTTATAGGACCTCTACCAGGTGAATAAGGTCGATGGAGGAGACATCACACTTGCATTCTGAAGAGGTATAAGTGAAAGTCCAAACTCTTGATGTGATTTTGATCATGATTCAGAAACCACACATCTTGCTTTGTTCCAGATATCTCATTATAGGTCTAGCTGTTGATAATATTTACGCCAAATGGAATTTGTTTCCCATCTTCTTACTATTTACTGACGCTAATGGATCGCTATTCTAATATCAGATCAATTTTTTTGCTTTTTGCTTTTTAACAATTCTTTGCTTTTTGCCTTTTAACAATTTTTGATTTTGTTTATGCCAAATAGAAGTTGTATTACATCAAAATGCTTCCCAGAATCGAACTTATCGAGACAAAGTAGTGTTAAGGCTATTCCATTGTGTCGCCTACAAAGGCCGTCTACTTAGGCGAGACTGGGCGTACAATGAGACGTCATATACATTTTTTTATATATATTATCAATGGTGTGTACAAACCTCGCGCTCGTTATAACTTACTTGGTGGGTGTACTTCTCCGGATAAAGTGCCACGGGGCCCTTTTGAGAGTCCCAATAATTAACGAGTCCCGAATTCAATAGTTGTGTAGATAATATGATAAAGCTATCATTTAACAAGACAAAATGACGGGCTCGTTAGTTAAGAACAGCGCCTTTTTATAACATTCTGATTTGAAAATTTGATCTCGTGCCCGAAAGGTTACGGTGATTTTCGAGGAACGTGCCCCAGGCGCGAGACGTTTGAGAAATAAAACAATCTATAAGTCATAGCTTTTAAGTTTTGTTGATGTTTTATTTTAACTCATTCAAGGCTGATTTAGCAACAGAGCGGGAATGTCAGTTGACGAAGGAAAAGCGCACGGAAAGGACTGAACGCGACATGCGGTGCTCAATTTTCCCTCTTTGCCATTGGTCAAGCCGATTTTTTTTATTTGCGCGAGTCATCGTCAGTGTGGTAGCGTTGTGTTTGCTAAATCTGATCAGTAGTAATCTGGATGAATCAATATTATGTCTTTAAATTATATTAATAGATAAAAAGTATATTTTATGTACTAGATAAAAGCATAAGGGCAACTTTATTTATCTTATATTTAGACTCCCTTCGTAGCATGGTAATACATTGTTGAGGCCTTAATATGCTTCAAATATGCTTTATGTACTAGATAAAAGCATAAGGGCAACTTTATTTATCTTATATTTAGACTCCCTTCGTAGCATGGTAATACATTGTTGAGGCCTTAATATGCTTCAAAAAGAAAAAGCAGCTCGTGTAACTTGAATTAATACATGGTATATTGCTTTATTGCTATTATTTTTCATTTAATTTGGCCTTCGTAGCAAATATCGGGTGCTGTATATATCCCCTTTCCAGCTAGATATTCATTAAATAAGCTTGTATTTTATTGAACATTAAAGTGTTTCCTATTGGATCAAAAAGTACAAGCAACAAAAAACCTTTGATTTTATCATTTTGTGACATATCACTCACTTAAATACACCTGCAAAGGCCCTTCATATTCGTTTTGTCTTTCATTAAGATCCTGCCTTCCCAGAAATGATGGTTAAAATAATGGTTTCCACGATACAATGTTGGTCTGCTTAAACCCTACCCTAACCATACTTTGAAGCAATATCATTATTTAAAAGTACCATTTGAGAAATTATCTAGCATATTTGGAAAAAAATCCATTTTTGTGCGGTTTTTTGAACTTAGGTAAGGCCCTTACAAACCTACTTTTAAGTTAGACTATTTTAATAAAATGTATTCAAAATCCACGACAGTCTTGGATTCTAGATTACACCCCGTGGTTCCGGCTTCCTTAAGTTCTATTCTGGATTGCAAAGCCCAGAATTCCGGATTCCACGAGGGAAATATCTCAGATTCAGGAATTCGGATTCCCATACATAAAGGCAACTAGCTTGCTTATAATCTACAAAAAACCACTGTTGATAATAGAATAATTCTGAAATTTGAATGTACTCCTTAGTCAGTATCAGTTTTTCTAAATACCAGTACAAAAACCGGTACAGTACTTCCGACGGCCTGGATGAAAATCTGAACGGATTACACAGGATCATCAAAGACGTTTGACTGATTCCGAACTCTTACTCGATGTAAGTTCAGTTGTCTCAGTTTTCTATGATCTCATTTAACCAATAATAGAGTGTATAAGTATATATTTAAGTCCTCGATACAGGACCAAATGCACCTATGTTTCGACCGTGTAAAACGGCCTTCATCAGGGTGAATGGCCGTCACAAGAATTACACACCATTATTACATGATAACGAATAAATTTGAAAATTTGAACGCGCTACAAAGGAAGATAAACACGCGCGCGCTTTTACCGGGCGCGAGACCACTTATACTCAAGCCCTGTGGCTGAATACGGTCTAACATATAGGCCTACTGACCTTCTTTTTGGCTTTAAGTCCTCGATAAATATAGATGTGTACATATTCAATATTTTTTGGTGATTATATTGGCACAGGATCACTCAATCCATTTTAGATTGATAAATACTTTGCTCACTTCCATAATGAATGATAAGATAAGAAAAGAAAAGTTTGGTTTTGGTGGTTCGGAAAACAAGCGAAATGTCCCTCTTCTGATTGACCTGTTCAAAGCATAGTCTGACAAGCCGCAGACCCAAAATCCCTTCTACTCCCATGCTTAGTTGACAGAAGTGAATTGTAAGATGTAGTGGCGCTAAAAGCTTCAGCTCTGGTAGTCGACAAACGCTCACTGCCATTGAAATTTCCTCTGCTCAAACGATTGTAGACTTGATGCTTAAATCCTTCACGGAAACTCTCGTTGAAGACCAGATATAGACACGGGTTGATGGCTGCATTAGAGTGAGTCAAAAAATAAAATGTTAGGGTCAATGAATGAGGCAGACAACTATGGACCTTCAAGTTAAACATCAGCAGGAAGTGATTGACGTGCGCTGGAAGCCAGCAAATGGCAAAAAGTGTCACTATAGTGACAAGCATTGTGACCACCTTACGTTTCTGCTTCTCGATACGCTTTTGATTTTTGTCGATGTGCACTCCAGGTGCCTTCCTTTTCCACAAATGCAGCACAATTTTGGAATAAAACATAGCCATAGTTAGCAGCGGAACCAAGTATAACAACACGAACCGAATGACCTTCTCGAACATGGTAATCTTGTGCGAGTCTTGGATATTCTCAACCCACCTAGGTGCGCATATGACTTGACCGGAATCGTTGAAGAGCCTGAATTTGTAAAGCTCAGTTGCAAAAATGGCGCCTGAAATGAGCCACGTCAAGATAATTGCTACCATGGTCAACTGTTTGGACAGAGGTCTTCTCATCGGGCGAACAATGGCAAAATATCGGTCAATAGTCATTACGGTCAGCGTCAGGACAGAGGCCCCCATGGAGAGGTATGCCAGGAATGGTAGCAGCTTACAAAGAAATACACCAAATCCCCCAGGAAACCACTTGACACTCACAAACAAGTACGCCACAGAGAGCGGCACGGCAGTGATGACGTCAAGAATATCAGACGCCGCCATATTGACAATCAGCATGTTAAACGTTGTTCTGAGCTTTGGGTGGCGCTGAACCACATAAATGATTATCGAGTTGCCAAGCACCGCCGCAAAGAACAGAACGAGATATGCAATGGTTAAACCAACTGTGGTGGATTGTGTGACAGGTTGACTCCGACAAAGACCGGCCGAGTGATCAGAGCCATTAGCGTCAGCTGCTTCTAGAATAAAAAGATATTGATCGTTTTAAAAGCATTGAAATTAAAAATAAACACTTTTTGGATTAGACTGGTCAACGGTCTGTTCATATGGTAAAAGGTTGTCACAGGTAGAAGAGTACACCCGACTAGGTTACCCTCCTAGCCGGGCCAACGTTTTCATTGTTATAAACACTTTGACTCGCAGCCGAGTCAAATCGGTCAAGGAGAGGCAATCAGAGCATGCGCAAGTTTTATTGGCTAGGGCAAAAGGGTCAACTTTTTCTCATGTCAACGCTCGCTAAATTTGCCTCGGCTGGGAGGGTGACCCTTGCACCCATGAAAGGTTTTTCCATAAAAACGATGCAGGGAAATAATATGGGGAATCTGTATCCCATAATTATACATGATTCATTCCGCTTTATTCCTAATTATTAAAATAATTTCGTCAAAAGCCTTTTCAGGATATGAATGGATCAATGTGTTTCTTTCTTTCTTTTTTGACAGAAATTTTTTTACATAGTTTTAAAAATCATTAAAGTGTCTTGTTTTTTCTTGCTACTTTTTCGGTCTCTATACGTTATTCGGCTCTTTCTTCTCCCCTATGCGCTCGAGATTTTTCCAGGCATTTTTCTAGCCCCGCACTCTCAAACAGCTTAGTTGCCTCGCCATTATCTTTGTCGTATCGTTAATCGTCAGATAATTCTATTCGCCCAATAATATTGTCAATTTTGCGTGGACGATGGACGCAAAAGTTTCAAATTTGGTCAGCATTAGCTCGCCATAAAAATAAACAAACGGGAAATTAACCCAATCAGAAACAGAGAAATTTTTTTGAATGAATAATAATGTTTATGGTTTCTGCTCTGTTTCAACCTGGCAAGGAAGTTTTAAGGTTTTGACTACGAAGATTTCCATCTATTTGATGCAGGCTTCGTAGGTGTAGATAAATTACTAATTATGGCCGACTGGCCGATTGTCAAATTTTGGCTTTGTGTTATGTCATCTAACATTCGTTGGACTGGGTAATCTCTGTCAGCAAACCGAGGTGGGATAAATAAACCAAAAAGCTAACGGCATTCATGAAAATATTAAATGTAAAAAACCTTTGGGGTTGGCAGGAAAGATTCATGGGATTGAACAAAATAAGAAGCGCAAGCCAAATTTCACAATTGATAATTATATAACTGCACGCTCAGGTATTATATCATTGCTTAATTGCAGAATTAAACTAAGGCATAGCTTTGCCTTGAATAGCTTTATTTTTTTTATTTTTACTGATTATTCATCAAACGGGTTTCTCTTTTCGCTGATCCAACTGTCTTTCTTCAATTGAGTCTGTTTCTTCTTTTATCCTAACAGCAGACGTTATCTTCCAACTTTTGTTGCTTTAGATCACCCCTAAAACAGCATTATACCTCCCAAATTTCAAACGAACCCCAAGAATTAAACTGCTAAAAAATTATACCTGAGCGGTTACTTTCCATGCTGGTTCTACTTCTGTTTTTTATGCTTGCCCAACTTCAACATTGGTCGACTGATTGATGACTGGAGAGGATGTGATAGACCTGAACACAGTCTTAGCTACAATAGTTCATCTTGTTCCAAGAACTTAACTGTCAACAAAATAAAAATGTTAAGGGTTTTTTAAAAACAAATTCACTTCATGATTGACAGTCATAGGTATTTTCAAGAATTCTGTCAGTCAGCGCTTCAAAAAAAAGTCGTTAATGGGTTGCGCTTAATAAAGGTTATTTTATCGGAACCGCCGCTTGTAATATGTTGCTTTTCATTTCAATTGAAAATGGATAATGGCCTTTTCGTTCAGGATTTTTCAATTAGTAAACTAAAACATCCACGAAAAGTCGGCAAGACTTTACTTTAAGGAATCTAAGGGGAAAAAAGGCATGCAGTATATTAACTATTATCAAAGTAAAATTGTTGATATGTGTCAAATGTTAACTTTTTATTCTCCTGAAGTGAATTTATGGCTTTTTCGCGGAAAGTGATCGATTTGACTAGTGGAAGTTGTTAACCTGGTCCCCTGGCACTTAAGAATAAAAATTCCATTAGGCTAATGCATAGGCAAGAGTGGCCTGTTGCATGTTAAGAATACTGAACTGACATCATCTCTTTTAAGACTTCCACAAAAAATAAGCCGTAGCCTTCAAACTTCTAAAATTATTTTAAAAAAAACAAGATGACTTTCAGTGATTGGATCAAAGCCTGGTATTAACTTTTTCTAAGGTATAGGAACTTCTTAATCTATAAGTTTAAGTTCAATCCGCCCCAATAGTCTATTTTTCCCTAATTATAATTAAAAAAGAAGAAATCAAAATGAAGTGATTTTCAAAAGAATGCTTTCATTTGCCGTAAGTATCACTTAAAGACTTCGGATGTACAATTAAGATTTCTTGGGATTTCAGACTAATGGCTTAAGGGATAATGCACAATCATTATCTTGTAGTTAGAAGGTTAATATATCGAAGGTCGAAATGTTTCTCAATCTCTAGTCACTGAGAGGGAAGAAAAACTTTTAGAAACAAAAGGCGTGAGTACCAAGAGAAATGGTTCCCAGAACCAACGGTGTGCTTTCTGGTTCCTCTCTTTAATGTCGTTCGTAATTACAGTTTAGCGATGAAAAAAGTTCATTTCTGTAAAAATTTTCCCTTCTACCTTCTAATAAAACTCCTCCTCTCCATGAGCGAGGTGGACACATGAGTAAAACAAGGTGTATTTGAGACGCTGAGTACAAGCCCTTAATTTCTACGGTTGAGACGTAGTGTCTCCAAGCTAAATTAACTCGTCGGAAATTTTGAAAAAAAATACATTTTGCTTACCGCAGGCTGAGGAAGGGTTTCTAATTGTCTCTTAATGAATCACGTACTATCTTTTGAAAATATTTACAATTCATGCAAAATTAGCAATATTGATTCTTGATACTGTTTCTTGACTTGTAGTACCAGCCTAATAATGTTATGAAAGGTCAGATTTTTTTTCTTTAAAAAGTTCAGAAGAAAATGTCTTTGATTTTATGCCACCAACGAATCAGTTTTTGTTTTGAGCAGTCTTTCATGGTATACGTTTATCATGTAGTTACATTGTAGTGATTCCAAGGTTAAATTATGTTTCAGTAACAGAAAGGAAAATCCATTTTGTACGATTTACCTAGAGACATGCAATAAGTAATATACATCTCTTTAATTTTTGATTAAATTCGTTAGAGATGCACATATCTATTTAAGGATTTGTACTGATTTGCGCTGGTTTCATGATATCAGTATTAAAGCTGCAATCAATGATCAAACGCATAAGACTCCACAACTCAGTGGATATCTTGTGCATTCTGTCAGGTTAAAACAACTATTAATGGAACAAAAAATAAAGTTTATTGTAAATACCATGGGTTCGTGTTCACACAAATACCTTTAAAATTACTTGCTTGTAGTTTTTGAGAATTATAGATGGGGTTTTAGAGATAGAGTTTTGAATATTTGTGAACTCTGGAATACTCTGGAACATTCTATCTCCCTTTTCGATCATTATCGCATTTTTATATTCGGATGAGTACATTTTTTATGCAGATCAGGATTTTGCAAACGCCAGCAATGCGTTAGAAATATTTTGCCGTGTAATTATTTCACTTTCCAGCACGGTTCACTAAGAGAAAAAGGTCATATCTAACTGTAGTTACCATATCAAATGCGCATGCTGGGAGTGAGAGTTTAAAAGTTAATAACATTGACAGTGTTGTTCAGTTTTGAATATTAACAGTCGTCGTTTATTCTATTCATGTTATGTCAATTCTAAGGAATTAAATTCTAGTAATTCGCTAAAATGACGAAAACAAAAGAGGTGCACGATTTTTCTTTCTTTCTTTCATTTTTTTTTTTTTTTTTTTTTTTTTTTTTTTTTTTTTTTTGTGGTTAAACTCCATCCTTGCTTTAAAGGTTAACTTTACTATTTTATGGTATTAATGGTAATTTATGGAAATGAAATACAAGTTGAAACCAAGAATAGAACTAACCCCAACAGACTTTATATTTTAACCAAATTTGTCCCTCACTTAGAAGTACTTATTACATTGTCTTAAAGATCATCGGTACTCGAATAATTCTAATTGATGTAGGATTCATGTTAATCAAGATCCAGCATCGCCAGAATTTTTTTGCTAGAATTTCGTAAAAGTTACGCTGCAGGACTGCTGGTTAACTTCACGCAATTGAAAATTTGACGTTTCTTTCCGAATAATTCTCTTTTAGTAAACATTAATGGTAGCCTCTCTGCGAAAATTTTGAAGAAAAACACATATGCGTCCTTTTATGCCATAGCGAAAACAGTCGCAAAAAAAACTTTGAAAAAATGATCAATAATTGAACATTGAAAATAACTGATATTAATAAAACTGTTCGAACAGTCTTAATTTTGGGCCTAACTACAATAGCGCCCCCTTATGAAGCGAGGAATCGTTTGGATTGGTCTGCAGTTCACAGGCCTCCGGTTTTTACCTCTTCTTCCTCTTGTTATACACGAGTTTGAAGATAAAAACAGCCGTTGATCCATTGACCGCTAGGGCAATGAAAATATGGCCAGGTATGGTTTTAATGGTCTTGAGTCTTCAACGAAGTATACAATTCCACTATTTAGCTTCTTGAACGGATGGACATTTTTGGACCTCATACCTCTAAAGAGAATGGGAAGGTTGGCGATGAGCGGTCTACATTTGCGGTATCAACTCTCTCCCTAACAAATAAACAACCGGGCCGGCCATAATTGATGGCAATGTTGGCCTCTGGTGCCGACTTCAACGAAACTTCCCTTGCGCCCTAGCGGTTTCGAGTCCTAATTCGATGATGTTAGTTAAAAAAAATAAGTGCTTAATTCTCTATACGACACGAAATTAATCATCGTCATGGAATACGTTCAACCGTGTCTTAAAAATTTTAGCAAAACCTTTCCTTGATTACTAAGCTCCCCCCTCCCCGCCGCCTGAGGATTGGTTTCTGGTTCTTAACACGTGTGCAGAAATAGGCTCTTTTTCCTGGAGTCCTTAATCCTTGTACTCACAGCCGGAGGAAGAAAACAATTATGAAATGCTTTAAATGTCTAGAAATTTTAAAAAAGGCAAAAGTCATGAGTTCGCGCAAGTATTTTCTTTCAATACCTCTGCAACCCTTGTCTTTCGCTTGACTCGATGCATTCGGCCAGAGAAATTTCATTGATTAACCTTACCCGACAATAGCATATCAAACATCTTTTATTAAGTCCTTAAAAGAAGTATCCGGTATGTATTTTGCAGAAGAAAAAGCGCTATAAACGATCAAACATCAAAGTTACTTTTCGATTTTCCGGCAATCTAGAAATAAAAATTTAAAAATAACTATTATTAACTAGGGATTATAGTAACAAGATTTAAAAATCCAATTAAGCAATTAAAATAGAAATGCACGTTACCCAGTGCTTAATGTCTTTTGTGGAAAAGATTCGGTTTCATCTAATTGCTGGGTAGGGAGAAGCCGTAATTATTTTCATAATACCATTGACAAGATAAAAGCAAATTAACATTCAATAAGAATCCCCCCTAAACGTCACTATTCTATGAGAATTTAGCCTCCGCTTCCAAGAGACCCCTTTCTAACCGTACATATATTGTATTGCTGCATGTTATTACTTACAACGCAAATGCATATACTATGAACAAGGTAATTCAGGCTGAAGCTAGACTGATTAGAAACATTATATTAATGGCCTTTTGTTTCAGTCATTTTGTTTGTGCTAGACCTTTTGGTGCAAGATCTTGTGGCTCTATTCTTTCTTTTTATGAAGAAAGTGCATAAAAAAAAGGAACTGGCAAATCAAGGTTTTTAATTATGAGTGACCTTCTTTAAGTCAAGTTCACTCAGTACAGATGATTCATATTTCATTATCGAGACCATATTGCTTTAATCAGTACAAAAGATATTCGGGGTAAATACACCAATATGCGGTTTTATGGAGAATTTCCGAAATATGACGCACCTTTGTAGGGAAGACATTGAACTTAATGTAATTCGAAATATGAAACAAGGATTTGATTAGGTACAGTTTGATCGTTAGCAGGTAATATCTGTGAGATTCTCGTGATCTCTTGTCGTCCCGTCATCCTTTTTCGTTAATAAGTAAACCGGCTGTGGAACCATTATGGTCTTCAGTGTCGGACGTTGAAACATTGCCAGCGAATTGCAAAGTAATCAGTGCCAGCCACTAATTGCCTTTACATCGTTTCAACATGCTGAAAAAGATCTACATGTACAATGACCGCGGTTATCCTTTCTTCTCGGCTCAGTTGATGTTTCCAATTAGAAAGGAAATGGTTCGATCATAAAATAACCAATTTCAGTTACGATGACTATAGAATTTAAACGCAAACCAGTAAAAATCCTTAATATTTCTTGAACAATCAACTAAATGGGTGATTTTAACCTGACCTTTAATACCTATGGGTAAAACACAATCCTTGTTAACAAATTAAACATGGAAAAAAAAAAACCTTTGATTGATGCTGATGTACTTATTTACCGTAACTTTTATAGTTCAAGCTCTAAAATATTGCCCAAATGCTTCAAATGCTCGTCCAACAATTTTTCACTCTCCACTGAAGAACCTCGTCGTATTCTATTGTCAGAATATTAAATGAATGCATTTTTGTGTTCCATGCAGACATCAATGTAAACAGGTTTCTTCAAGAATGAACTGATTTTGGAGTAGGATTGAAAATGATAATTAACAGATCCCTGCTTCTTATTCCTAGGCAGTTTAAAGTTTCAACAGCTTCGTTAACAATACCTTACTTTGGCAAAGTCCTTCTACACGATTTGCTTATATCACTGCCAGTTGCAAGGCTGGTGAAAGAGTGAAAGAGTCCCTGAGTGCTGCCAGTGGAGAACTGAAAGTGAAGCGACCCAACCAAGGATTTAAATGATGTGAATTGCACAGTGAAATTATTTTTATCGCACGGCATCTGCCTTATGGTCTTTTAATTATGTTTTGTTTGACATTTTTGGGTATTTCGTCTTCGATTATCGCGTTATTTATCACGAAACAGGTGGCAATTTCAGTTTGGAAAGATTCCTTCACTTTTAATAACTTTCTTTGTAACTGAAACATTGTTTTAATTTAGATTTGTTTAACTGGTACTGCCGTAAAAAAGTTGTTCAAATCACTTAGCCGGATAACTCTGGAATAGGATATTTAACATGAATTGGATCTAGCGAATTGCTCTTTAAAAACATATATAAACAGCAGCAACTTACAAAATGAAAAAACTATTATAACCAAATAAGCCGCAAGGAAACGGCACCTCAAAGTTGTATCAATGATCGAATTTTTTGCCGCTGTGCCAAATAATGAATGGGGTATAGTGAAATGGTTAAAGAACTAATGAATTTAAAGGAGGATAATGGTGTGATGGCTAAAGAGCTAATGAACTTAAAGGAATACATATTAATCCCCCGCACCCACTGTTTTTATTTTCATACACGAACTCGACGAGCTCTGCCGCACCGTTTTTCAGAATTTGATACATTCTGAAGAGTTGATGCCAACGGCAATGTCAGTGATAGCTAATACGTTATAAAATTATGTAGTTTTAGATGCTCCTACTGTCGATGCAAATAACAGACTTATTTTGGCACCACAGAGCGATATCAAACAGACGCCATTTGTAATTTTGGTATTAACAGTAGAGAGCTTTGACAAGCCGTAAGCCTTCCTTATGATTTGACTCAATTTTAGCTATACATTCTACTGATCTGACTATAAAAAGTGTTTCACGTATATACAACCATTTGCATGTTTCTCAGGATTTCTACGAATTAACAAACGATAAAAACTTCCCTTATTTTTTTTTTTTTTCAATCGTTTGGCTAGATCAGTAGATCTGGCAAAGGATTTTTGACGCACTACTCCTAATCTCCAGGGTATTAAACGGGTTGCCTTTTCTAAGCACTGGTCAGCTGCTTTTGTCGTTAAGACGCAAAAAGAAATCTAGTGCTCTTTTCAGTCGCTTCCTTAGTGCCAGTATTTGGAGCTGGCTTATCTATAACCACCACTGCCGGCTTATTGAAGTCTACATGTTCGTAGGTATAACGACAGCAACAAAAAATACCACAAGAAAAAAAGTTGGTACTGGAGACAAGCGAGATGCACTAGAGCTAGAGACAAGCAGGAAGCGCGTGAGGAGGATGATGGGAGCAAGTGCAGTGCACATGCACGAGGTTTGATGAGAAGGCCTCAGCTTTCCTTAAGCCTGGTTTCCAATGGCGATGGAGTCTGAGTGGGAGTCGTAAGTGGTGTCGCAATAGCCCTTATGACCTAGTAAAAATCAAAAATCGGAGTCGTAGCGGATTCATAAGCGCGACGAAATCGGAGTCGGAAGAATCAGAACGTCTCTTGATTTTCTTGCGACTCCACTTACGACTCCGTCGCTTACGTTCCTCTTGTTATCTAGTGAAACTGGCGCAAACCAGATTGTAGGGGTCGGAAGCAGAAGCGGAAGGATAACAATCGCAATGCACGTTCGCACGATTTGTGATTGGTTTAGTTCTTCCGCTTCTACTGGTGACACCCGCGACCCAGTTTTCACTTGATCGTAAACGACAGAATGGTAAGCAGAATCAGAACGCTGTTTTCACTAGATCGTAAAGTTCTACGCTTCTAATTACGACTCCGACTTCGACTCCGTCGCTGGTGAAATATCCCCCAAAAAAGTGATCTCCAGCGACTGGAAACGAGGCAGGGCCGGGTTTATATATGGAGGTAACATTGAGTCGACCTTTCTCAGCTGTTACGTTGCTAAGTTGTCATGTGCTTCACAAATTCTTTGTGTGATTGCTCGTTTATTGTTAGTGTATACTCAAACTGAAAATTCCAGCTGAAGCTTATACAAATTCTGAAATACAAGATGTAATTTTTTTAATCTCTCAGCCAGGGTAGTTTCGAATTTGAGCATTTTTCTCGCAGTAGTTTGTAAAAGTTTACTAGCACTGTGAGTGTTAAAGACGCATAAAAAAGGGACGCACAACAAGTGTAAACTATTACTGCCAACCATGAACGTTCCTGCTGAAACTTTAATAAGCCAGAATGGGAAGTCGGAGCCATTACTTCACATTTTGGCCAGAGAGACTGAATAAAAAAAAGGCAGGGAATTATACATACCTTGTGCCAAGCTTGCTCCAAGCATTCGATGTCTGTTGATTAAACTAGTACAAACCGTATCCTCTTTAAAGAGAAATGTAGTTTCTATATTGAATTGCGTCTTACTGGAACTTACAGCCAAAAATAGGTGCAGGTGAGTACATTATCAAACAACTCTAGTTCTCATTTATTTCCAATATTGCACCTAATTAGTGCTTTTATGAAATATTATTGGATGAGACTGAACATGAAATGAAGAATAACGCAAATTAAAAGGGATTATATCTCAACATGCATAGTTTCTTCTGTGATACAAAATCTATTACCCACTGAAGATACAATGACACTGACTGTCAACATCTTTAAATGCAAATACCTAACCTCCGGCTTTACATAGGAAAAAAAAATTCTTTCGGTTAGAGAGAAGGGTACTGGAAATTGCTAACCGCTTTGGACGGCGCTTTTTTTTCTAAGCGAGTCAAGATCATCTTCTGATTCATGGTTTATATGCTAAAAACATTTATAAATACAGAAGAAGTTCCTTAAATTTAAGGAATACAAACGTAGAAGTCAGCCTGAAAATTCTTGCTAACTGATGGACAATTTTTTAGCTTGACAGAATTTTGTACTGCGACAACATTTGTAAACACTTTAACAAACTTGACTGTTTAAAAAACTTTTGCATTGAAATGTTTTTATGCGCACGGGTGACGAGCCTGTGTGGCCAGATTGCAAACTTGCTCTTCTGTTATGATGATGTCAAGCAGTACAAGCGGCCAACCAAACTTCAGAGAAGCAATAACTAGAGCGCAAAGTAATCAGATTACACGTAGGATTATTCGATTTATAAAGACTTTACCGCATATATTATCCTTGAGTAAATCTGCGAATGTGTTACAATCAGAAAAAAATTCGTTTGTCTTTTATTATTCTCTCAAACTGATTTTTCCTTCTTGCCATTAGGATTAACGCTCGCTTTTTCCGAAATCATTGTGGATTTTCTGTCCATTTATTATCTTGCTGTTATCACAAACATGAATTCAGAAAACATTTATTAACAAATAATGCCATTTTCATCCCATCCTCGTTACATTCAGGGTAAATTAATGTTTCTCCTTTTTTTATAAAGGATTTCATTGTTTTGTTGCGAAATAAATATTTCGCTTTTGTTAAACTACGAGCTAGAACTCTGAGTCTATTTTGTGACTCCTCCATTTAAAGCACAAGTACAGAAAAAAATTATTGAGGAAAAAGTTTATTATTTGTCACTAAAAGGATTAAAACATCATCCGAATGATCCAATTGAGCGCCAATTCTTTTGATATCGGGAGACTATCAAGAAAACATTTTTATTAACAAACCTTTGTTAGGCGGAAGTTCCATAGATATGAACGTTTTATCATGGTCAGCAAACTGGAAAGCGCCCGGACTTAAAAATGTGCAAATGGCCGTCTTGCACTTGTTATATCTATTCTAAGTGCCTATTTGGCAGAGATGAATTGTCACTAATCTGCTTAATCCTTGAAATCCTAGGAATGACAATTACACCAATTCTCTCCCAACACTGTAGTATCTATACATATCCATCATCAAGCGAAAAGGAAAACGAAATGAGAGTTTTTCACAAAATGATCACCTAGTTGTATGATTTGATCTTTAAACAAATTCTCAACGAAATGTTTGAAGATCAGTCTGAAGCGAGGAATTTATAAGTGGGTATTAAGGAATTAAAGGGTTAAAAGACCACATTCCTTCTTTTTTTAGGCCCATCTCCCAGCGCTCCGACGTTTCTGGCTATTGTACGTGGGTGTATAACGCATTAAAACATTCGTGCGCCAGCGTTCTTCTTATCTTAAACATTTCTTTGCCCCCTTTTACACTTTTTCTTCCTTTTTCGTCTCAATATTTTTTAGCCTAATCTTGCTTGATACCGCCTCTAATATCTTGTTTTATATTGTGAAGTAGCTCTACCGTCGTTGAACCTGTATGTTTCAGTTAATAATTCGTTTTATATTTGAGGAAGCCTATATGTTTTCAAACCTTGTAGTTTCTCACAAACTTCCTCTCCATTGGGTTTAATATTGAATACCGGTAAACTTTATTTTGCAAAACAAATAAACTTAAAACTTGAAACTTGAAACGACTATTAGGTGTTCTTGAGTCACTTTTATCGTAAAAAGTTTGCCCCGTATTTATCTTAAACTGGCCACAAGCTAAACTGAGTCTTTAACGACTTCAATAATAAGCGTAACAAAATTCCATTACAGTGAAATAACTTGAATAGTTAGTCTCGACAAATGGAGACTGTTTTTGGTAGTTGTGATCAAACTCGCACACAGAATGCTTAACACGGATTTATAAAGATGTGGAGTTATTCTGAGATCTGGGAGTAACCGTAATTAGGGCCGTAATGAACAGGAAAAGGTGCAGTTAAAGGTTAGCGCTACTTGAAAATTTCAACGTTAAAGCGTAATGTTTTATCAATAGAATGCTTTGAGAGCACCCTGGTGTTTAGGAATTATTGTTGACAATCAGTTGTTTTGGCTTAGCCATATTGAATAAAATTGTAAGTCCTTTGGCCAGAAAGTAAATCAGCTAAAAAGGCTTAAGTATTTAACAAAGGATACCTTACTGTCACTTATTGCAATTTAGTTTGGGGTACCTGCTCACCTACATTATTGCATGAAGTGGAGCATGTCCACGCCAGAGCAGCTAAGATTATCTATAGGCTATCTGATGTTAGCAACCAAGAAGCTAAAACAATAGCTGGATAGCAATGTACAAGAGAAAGTTACTGACTTTTATGTATCAAGTTTACAAATCTGAGCTACCAGATAACATAATTAGGCTTTTTAGTAGTAGCAATTGTTCTTAAGATCTACGCAATAGCATGAAGTTCGAGGTTCCCCTCTTTAACCAAGAGGTGGGAAGGATTTCACTAAGATATAGGGGAGCTTTGTTCTGGTACTCCTTTCCAGACAATTTAAAAAGAGCACCAAGTCTAAACATTCTTAAAAAGCTTCTTAAGAAAAACAGACCCTTGTTCGACAATATAAATTTCAACAAGATGAAATAGTATTTTAATTGTTCTTACCTTTTAGTCTTTTATCTTACTACTGTGTACTTAATCTTTTTATATACCTATTTTCTGTACATTTTTTAAAATTTTATTTGTATATCATCAATAGATAGTTTATCAGCAGGTCCACATGAGGTTTAGCTGCCTTTTAACTTAACCTGCTCACGACCAAATAAACTATGAATGAATGAATGAATGAATGAATGAATGAATGAATGAATGAATGAATGAATGAATGAATGAATGAATGAATGAATGAATGAATGAATGAATGAATGAATGAATGAATGAATGAATGAATGAATGAATGAATGAATGAATGAATGAATGAATGAATGAATGAATGAATGAATGAATGAATGGTCTTGCCAAAAGCAGGAGCCTAAAAGCTATCATATTCTAGCACGAGGATTTAAGAACTTCAAGGTTCTCTGAAGAAGGAAAGGGTAAGGGAAGTGCACTAAATCTTGAAACGTCTAAGGTGTCCTCACCGCTTGAAAAATTTTGTGTTTGTTGTTCTCTACAGGGCTATTTTATGTGAGAGAACCTATTATAATTAATGATTTCTAGCTCAGTTTGAACGAAGATTTGGTCAAAATTCTCCCAGTCGTGATCTGCTGTTCATTTTAAAGGTTCTTTTAACCAGTTGTACTTTTTACATACAGTATCTTTTCCACGACCTACTTATGAGAAAAAAGGAAAGGAAACGATAATTACGATAAAAGGAAAAAAAAAAAAAAAAAAAAAAAAAATTAAGGAGTTCCGGACATGTTATATCAGTTATATGCAGATTCAAATTTAGTTCTCGCTTAAAGTGTGAACAAACGGATCGTGCAAACAATTAAATCTCAGTAAGTTATTACTGTTACAGTTTGTACTTGGAGCAAAACTATTCATGAATTTTGAGAATTTCGTGATGAATAAGAAGGGTAGGATTTAGCTAATCCATTCCAATTTATCTTTCATTTCTAGAAGGTCAGCATATGGTGGGTTAGATACGTCTTCTATGTTATCCCTAGTGAATTCCTTGGATTTTGTATTTGTCTTTATTTGTCTGACTTAATGCAGAACCGTTTGCCATAAGTACAAAACATCTTTTGGATACTATCTTAGCAAAAATCATTCGAAAACCCAAAAACAGATAAAAAGTAATGACGAAATAAATATTAAAAAAAAAAAAGAAAATACTAAAGAGCATTCTTCTGATCAGCATCACAGATGGCAGCGTAAGCGGCTTTTTTATCTGTTCCACTCTTCAAAAACCACAATTAATCTAATTTATATTGCTGTAAATTCTGACTAACATTAAACAAACTCATTTAGCAACAATCAAGGTGATTGAGGGAAAGCTAAGTGCACACACAAATCGAAATAATTTGGATTTGCCATGTTTGTTATGACAAGGTGTAAAAAACCCTAAGTGATAATTAAAAATCGACGATCATACATTGTCGGCCCGTGTACGTGCGCTTAAGTCGCTTGGAATGCAGTAAGGTATCGTAAACACTAAAGAGTATGACCTCATCAAAGGTC